AGGAGAAAAACCCTATACATGTCTTACCTGTGGGAAAAGCTTCCGATACAGTTCAGCTCTTACCACACATCAGAGAAAACACACTGGAGAGAAACCTTATAAATGTCCCGAGTGCCAAAAAACATTCAGTGACAGTTCAATCTTTAGCAGGCATCGGCGGGTACACACAGGAGAGAAGCCCTTCAAATGCTGTGATTGTGGGAAAAGCTTTGGGGAGAGCTCAGACCTTCTTGTACATCAGAGAGTACACACGGGAGAGAAACCCTATAAATGCCTTGAGTGTGGGACAAGTTTCAGAGTACCATCAGCACTTATTGTGCACCAGAGAGTACACACTGGAGAGAGGCCCTATAAGTGCCTGACCTGTGGGAAAACATACCGGTGTAGCTCACACCTTACTAAACATCAGAGAATCCACCCAGGCAAGAAATCCTTGAAGTGCCCTAACTAGGGAAGGGCCAAGTGAATAATGTCTTTGCCAGTTCCTGTGAACCTCAGAGCATCAGGCCAGGCTGGAGTGGCTGTGTGGGATGTTATTGACATGAACTGGGAACATATAGATTATTGTTGCAACCAAGGTCCTGTAGTGGCACCAAATCTTGTATAAAGGGGGTCAGATAAGGTGTCTAAAACAAGGTTATGGTTTGCTGGTTATGATTATGCTATCTGTATGCATGTGCCATTTTAGTATTTAAAGTTGTAAGTATTAGCTCTATACTGTCTGTATTTCAAACTTGTGCAATGCTTCTGGATGATACCCCAGACAATGTGGCGTCAGCACTGCCTAGCCCGCTTGATGGTCCATTAAGGACCATCAGCTATACAACTGACCCATGGAGAGAAGGCAGATACACCTTGTGACTCAGCAAGGTATGCAGGAACCTGCCTATGGACTGAACTCTAAGGGTTTTTTCTTGCCATGTGCCCGAATGCTTGTCTTTGCAACAAAGAAAGAAAGGCCACATCACAAGAGACTATAAAAGACTGCTGCATCTCCTCCATCTTGTCTTCATTCCTCCTTCTTGCCTGTGGAGGGACTTTGCTACAAACTGAAGCTCTAAACAAAGGACTGAGGACCCATCCCAGCTGGGGATGTATTCCAGAGACTTGATTTGAACCTGCAGTTTATTCTAACAGTGCTATAAGCCTGAACCAAGAACTTTGCTATTACTGTATGTAATTGATTCCATTTAACCAATTCTAGCTCTCATCTCTATCTTTTTCCTTTTATGAATAAACCTTTAGATTTTAGATTCTAAAGGATTGGCAACAGCATGATTTGTGGGTAAGATCTGATTTGTATATTGGTCTGGGGCTTGGTCCTTTGGGATCAAGAGAAAAGAAAAAAGGTTACTGGGGTATTGGTTTTCATAACCATTTGTCCCCATAATGAGTGGCACTGGTGGTGTACTGGGAAACTGGAGTGTCTAAGGGAATTGCTTGTGTGACTTGTGGTTAGCCAGTGGGGTAAAACCAAAGTCCTCTCTGTCTGGCTGGTTTGGTTTGCCTTAGAGGTGGAAAAACCCCAGCTCTGGGCTGTAACTGCCCTGCTTTAAGCATTTTGTCCTGAATTGGCACTCTCAGTTGGGTTCCGCCAAGGGCACCATCGTTACACTGTGTAATGGGGATATGCAATTGTTATAAAGCAGAGAATAAAATCCCATTCCTGGAACAGACTTGTGTAGAGCAGGAGGCTGGGTTAAGATTCCCACACGGTGATGAGATTTGATTATGATTTTTCAAGACTCTCTGAATGTGCCCTGATCCACTCCTACATTTAAGTTAATTCCCCACAGGAGAGTTGGCACCGTCCCAGAGCGCTGGGCAATTCCCTGAGCTGAGCTCCCCCACAGGAGCTGATCGCAGACTCGGGGTGATTCTAACGCTGGGCGTGTCCCTACCTGTGTGGCTGGAAAGGGGGGGTTGAGAGCCTGACACAGCAGCACAGAGTCGGGGGGGGGGAACCCAGGCTGGGGGGACAGGCACATCCAGTGGCACCCCAGAAATGGGGGCTCAACCCATCACAGCACTGCACATACTTCTCCCCCATTAAAGGATGAGAGAACCAACAGGCTGCTTATTACACCACTGATAGGTGGGAGTGCTCACACACTGTGGGGTTGAGCACGGTAGAAGCACCCACACACCATAGAAATGATCTTATCTTACGCTCTGTGACCTCTCATTTCTACTTGATAGTACGGTGTTTAATAAAATGGATACATTCAGGAGCAATAATGGTCTCTAGGAGGTTTGAAATCCAACGTCCTGACCTTGGCCTTGGGATGACGGTTTATTTGTGACTTTCCTGCTGTGCAGGAGGAGGAATAACTTGGGTCTGAGTTTCTCAGATTCATTCATCTGCAAAGGAGAAGAATGTGAGAATGGGCCTTCATGGGATGCAGGGAGGGGGTAGCTAGGAGCTGATGGGACTTTCAGAGGGCTCTGCTGTTTGTTCCCTGTAGTTACCATGAATTCATAGATCTAGAAGGTTTAGCTCAGTGGTTCTCAACCTGCAGCTTGTGGGCCACTTGCAGACTGCAGCCCAATCAGTACACAGCTGCAGCCCATGTGACACCCTCAGGGCCATGTGGGATCAGCGGTTCTCAACCAGGGGTCCGTGGCCCACAGGGTGTTCGTGAGCCCTTTCAAGGGGGCCATGGGGCCCTGTGGCTGAAGCCCTGATCTCCGCTGCCCCCTGCAGGGCTGAAGATGGGAGGTGCAGGGCTGAATCCCCGAGCTCCGGTGCTCCCTGTGGGGCAGGTTAGCCCTGAGCACATGGGCAGAGTTGGGGACATGGAGGGCATAGCTCCTCCCCCCCCCCCACTGCAGCACAAGATCATGGCAATCCTGGGGCAGCTCCACACCTGCCCCTCCCCCACCCGGGTCAGAAGCGGGAAGCCGGAGCCAGGCAATGGGGGACAGCTGTGGCTCTGGCTGGTGCATGGAGCAGGCAGCAGGATCCTGCCTCTCCTGTTGGTGTCCAGATTGAAGCTGCTCCTCCGCTCCCAGCCCCCTTTACGCCCGCAGAGGCAGCCGGTTAGAGCTGCCCAACTCCGTGGCTGGCAGACCCCTCCGGGAACAGTGACTGCAGGGGAGTCCTCCCAGCACCATCCCTAATACTCCTTTGCTACACGCTGAGCTACGCCTTCCCTGCCCCCACACAGCCCCTAGCTACCCCCTTCCTGCACCCTGAGCTGCCCCCTGCCCCCACACAGCCCCTAGCTATCCCCTCCCTGCCCCGAGCTACCCCCTGCCATCATACAGCCCCTAGCTACCCCCTCCCTGCACCCTGAGCTGTTTTCAAACTTTTTGAGCTAAGGTCCCCACCTTTGAGTTATAATTTTTGGTTGCGCTCCTGCTCCCACCCCCATGCCAGACAAGTGAGTGGCTTGCTGGGGTGGGTCAGAAAGTGGAGGAGGCGCGGCCTCCCTTGGCCCTGCTATCCAGGGCTCAAGCCCCACTGTCCCTGGCCCTCCCAAAAAGACATCAAACTACACCTATGCCCAAGGCCCATCTGCCCCCCGGCCCCTGAATTTGTATAGTATGGCGAGGGGGGGGGGGCTCAGAGAGAAAAAGGTTGAGAACCCCTGGTCTATATGTTGTGTGGCTGCTGCCCACATAACACAGAGAGAGCTGCCCCCAATGGTAACTAGCTTGAGAACCACTGGGTTAGCTAGATGACTGAGCTGCTGATTGTTAGCAATGTTCCCTCTCATTGTTTGCATCCGTGTTTAATGAATTTTGTTATGTGCACCAATATGAAGCTGGGGGGTGGGGCTGAGGGGTTTGGAGTGTGGGAGAGGGCTCAGGGCCGGGGCAGAGAGTTGGGGCATGGGGGGCTGAGGGTCTGGCTGGCGGTGCAGGGTCTGGAATGGGGCCTGGGATGAGGGGTTTGCGGGGCAGGCTGTGGCAGGGTGTGAGGACTCTCCCCAGGCCTCTCTCATCGCAGTAGCCAGGGGCTGGGGGAGAGGTGTCTCTCCCCATCTGCACAGTCCTTGATAGCCTGCTGCGCGGCCAGGTAGCTTAGAGGGAACAGAGGTTACCAGGA